AACTCTAATTAGAAATTTTTAAACATAATTATACCTGTTTTTTAGGGACATTTTTACTATAAGCTCCTTTTAAAGCCATCGATATTTTTAAAATATATGCGAAATCTTTATAATATGTTAGGAAAATTTCTGGATTATAATCAATAAAGGAATTAAAGCTGTAGGGGAAATGTAAATTTAAACTACCTCTGTCCTAATACTCTATTTGATTTGTTAATAAATCTGTCAATCTAAAAATGATTCAATAAAATTTTAAAAATTAACAGTAAAATAAACAATGAATGTTATCTGCAAACTTCATCAAATTCTATCAACTGGGTTCAAAGTTATATAAATTCAAAGTTAGACAAACATGGAACTTTCCATCATGAAAAGATAAAAATTATTTTTTCGCAAACTGCATACCTTACTTACTAAAAATGATGACCTCTAAAATCATTTCCTTAAAATTTTAAAATAAGAAAAATATTACTGAGCCAAAAAGTTTTTAAAGGAATTTCATAACAGAAACTGGTCTATCGCAATATTGATTCTAATGATTGCAAAATTGGATGCTATTTAATCGGCAGAAAAACGGTATGGTAGTAGTTGGCACCCAAATAACAATTCGCCAAGTATTAAGAGAATATTTTACTAACCTTAGCCCAGCGGATTATCTACAAAGAGGCATTAAAATGTTTAAAAAGATACTAGAACCGAACCGATGAGAATAAGATTGCCCGTCTGAGACATACCAATGAAAAGTGTTCACAGTAACTCCACCAATAAAACTATAAAAGGATAGGGAGTTTACATTTCAGTCCCAATCAGAAAAACAAGCAAGTTGCAGCCAATCAAAGTTTTTGCTGAACAGAGCTCATCTTTATTGATCATATGTTAAAATTAATTGTGCATACTATCGTGACGTTTTATTCGGTGAACATTTAATGCTATTAGAGAATTGTCGGGCAGTAAATTTTTCATATTCCAGCAGACATCGTTCCAGCTCATCGAGCCAGAAACTGTGGATCTGCTTTCAAGAGAAGCTCCATATTTTATTTTACCTACTTTTTGCCCCCCCCCCCAAATAGCCCTGATCTCAATCTGGTTGACTACAAACTGGAGGGTCCTTTAAGAACGTATTAATCAAACTCACAAACCTAGACCATCTCAAACAGCAGCTTGTAGAGAAATGGAACCGATTTGATTAAAGAATTGTTGATCGTGCAATCGATGAATGGTTAAATAGCCTTATAGCATGTATTCAAGCTAATGTTGATTTTTAACATTAGTGAAGAACAACATTTGTCTAATTTTTATTGTTATATTTTTATAATTTATATCGAATTGTAAAGTTTAATAAAAAATAAATTTTTACATGTTGGAAAGTACAAATTTTGTTTGTCCAACCTTGAATGTGCATAACATTGGACTCTGTTGATAGAATTTATACAATTAGCAGAAAACATTGAAATTTTATCCCTCTGTCAATCTAAAAAATTAAGTTTATTTTATAATTAACAGATTTATTATCAAAACAAATTGTGTATCAATTCAATTGAGAGTGTATGTTCTTATTTATGTTCTGTATAGGATATGATGAATGAATTATATTTAAAAAAATGTTTCATTTTTTTTTGTAAAGAGTGGAATGTATCCTTACTTTTATAGTCAAATAATTGTTTCTTAATTCGTTTACTAATCTGGCTTTCTAGAGGATATTCCGCGGGATCGATGGCGAATGCAAGCTCGCCAGTATCAATATTTACTTGTACAAATAAATTTTCCCGATAGTCTTTCAAAAAGTTTAAATACTTGTTATTCACTTGACAACATCATATTCTCAACAGAGTATCATAAACTTTCTCATCATGATAGGTTAATACATACCATAAGGCTTAGAATAACTGTTACTAACTATACTAAAATCATTAAAAATTTAGTGTATATTTAATAATAATGACTAAGGCACAATGTTGCACAATAGTACAATGGCATAGTTTGTAACTGGTGGGACGCATTAAAATATCTAACAAAAAAGAATTTTATTAAAATTTTGAAATGTCTGTCCATAATAGGTTTGCTTATTAAATTTAGATTTAAACCCCCTCCCCAGCATTTCTTTATGACTCTATTGCATTATGGTGGATGGCAGAAAATATTTATTAACTAGACAGTTAAAGAATTTGGTGCTTTTCAACAAAATAAGTTAAAATTTTTATTAGATCAAGTCCGGCCCTAATAAAAACTAAGAATTAAGCTGTCCCGATCGCGTCTAAAAAAATGTCTTCCCGAGTCCGATCGATATTAGTTTATTCGGATTGGTTTCAGGTTCACGCAAGGCTCTGGTTTGAAATATATAAATGATAAGCAAGAATATGATTAAAATTATAGACTTAAAAGTAATATTATTTATTATTTAATATTAAAACTTTCACAATTAGCGTATGATCTCAACTTTATATACCAAATTTTTAATTACCGAACTTTTCAAATAGATCTAGATATTGATACATCGTTTAAAGAAATATATATGTAACTAGATATATTCTTAATTGTGCCTGCGTACAGATATAACTTTTTGCAAATGTATCAATTTATAATAGTTCCGTAAGTTACATTTTTATTAAAATGCCTAATTTATAATATATTGATAAAATTAAAATTTTGAAGTGAGCTAAAAAATTTTTTATTGAATTGATACCGCACATACATGCAAAATAGATAATTAATAGATAAATAATAATTTAAATAATTTTTAGATTATAATAATGAAACATTCTTAAAATTTTTATCATTAAGGCACCCCCGTTAATCTGTAAAAAACATTTTTATTCGTACTAAAAAATCTTTCTACCGAGGCATTTGACAGGCGGTGGGTTATGAATAACAAGACAACTTTATGCTGAGATAATATTTAAATGTACTGAAATCCTGACATTCATTTAAAATTATTCAAAAGTTTCAATTTATATCCTCTAGGGGGGGGGGTGCTGAAAGTCTGAATTAAATTATTCCATCATTTTTCAAAAGTGTTTACAATCAGTTGGAAACTTTAATAGACCATCACCTAAAATTTAAAATTGCCATGTTATCGTCATCCTTTGTGTAAAATATAATTTATCTGGTTTGTTTTTGTAATGAAATAAATTCCAAAAAATATTATTATTTTTAATATAAAAAACATAAAAGTATATCAAAATGTACCTATAATGTATCTAAAATACCTATTCATCTAAAATAATATCGAGATACCGATGCTTTTTATCTAGTTACAAATACCAATTTTTGTATCTAAACATTACCACATTTTTGTATTTAGATACTTTATCAACTCTGCTGATTTGATTATTTTATAAAATTTTGAATAGATTTTTAATGCCATAAATTATAATACTTCAAAAATAAAGGGGATCCACACAATTGTCAAAATTACAGGGGCATAAAACTAATGTCCACTGTCTTAAACTCTACGAAAAAATAATAGAAAAAAGGTTAAGAGACATAATCGAAATAGGAGACTCAGTTTGGCTTTATGCCTGGAAGATCAACAACTGATGCTATCCATTGAGTGAAAATACAGGGAAAAGAACAAAAAGCTACACATGGTCTTTCTCGATCTAGAAAAGGCCTTCGATAGAATCCCAAGAAAACTTATCTGATGGGCGCTATGGCATAAAAAAATTCCCGAAAAATATATAAGAATAATACAGGATATGTATATGGTCCATACAACAATGGTCCGTAGCACAACAGGTACTTCAGCAGGCTTCACAATAGCCGAAGGAGTTCATCAAGGGTCGACTCTCAGCTCACTTCTCTTCATTACAGTAATAGATGTATTAGCACAGTCTATACCTCAAACAGTCCCTTGGAATATGATATTTGCAGATGATATTGTGATACTTGCCGAATCTAAGGATGAAATGAAAGAAATATTAGTGAGTTGGATAAATATCCTAGAAAAGCACGGGATAAAAGTAAATAAAGAAAAGATGGAGTATATGGTGATAGGATGAGATGAAACAGAGAGCATTGATATAAATGAATGGCAGATATCGGCAATTGAAAGCTGCAAATATTTGGTCTCCACTATACAAATAAACGGCACAATAGAGAAAGAGATAAAGAGTAAAATTAATCAAGGGTGGTTAAAGTGGAGATCTTTATTTGGAGTGCTATTTGACAAAAGAATCCCACAAAAATTGAAGGGAAAAATTTACAGTTCCATAGTACAACCAACTATTCTATATAGTTCGGAAACATGGCCAACCAAAGAATCAGAAGAGAGAAGTTTACAAACTATGGAAATGAGAATTCTGAGGATGATTGCAGGGGTAACAAGAAAGGATAAAGTGCGCAGTACAAGAATACTAGGAAGTTTAAAGGTAGTGCCCATTAAGACTAAGATAATGGTAAACAAACTTAGGTGGTATGGGCATTCAATGAGAAGGCCTATTAACTACATAGGAAATAAGGTTGAAGGTTTGGAAGTGATGGGTAAACGTAAAAGAGGAAGGCCAAAACTTCAATAGGGCCATAAAGTTAGAGCCAATATGAAGAAGTATAAATTAGATAAAAGAGATAGTATGAATAACATAAAGTGGAGAGAGATATTGAAGGAGCTTACCACCCACCATAATAGGTAAAAGCTAAAGAGGAAAAAATAAATTATAATAATCCTAATAGACCCAATCTAGATTTAAAAAGATTTGGTCTTATAAGATCTCACCAATAATATTTTTTATTAATCTCGTCGTATGCAGGTTATGGAACACTAAAAACAAGATCGCTGTTAACCAGATATTCACACATGTTATCCTACATAATTCCTATTTATTACGATACGTTAGTTTCAAATCGGTGTCCTTATAATATGCATAGCGATAAGTATACATTTAGATTAATATGTATTAAATAGGCTATCAGTAAAAAATCATAATTATTATTCCATTTCAAGCTACATTTATTAAACTAATTGGTATCGACAGTATGATTTAGGGAAAAATAATTTTTCCTTTTCATGTAGGTTGTTGGTATTCATTATCAGGTACATTCTTAGGGTTTTCATCGATGTCTAAAGGCGGAGGATAATTAAGACTTTGCCTTATGGAAGTTGTTATGATTCTGTTATTCAATAGTTGGGTGGGCCTGAAGTTATTGACTAAATCCTCGTGAAATTTGGCAAATTTTTTGGTCGTTTTTAAACTTCTAAAAGTGTCCATTTGTTCTTGAGATATTGTAACTGTATCAGCGAATATCGTCCATATGACGACCTCGTTACAATCCGGGCTGGTTAGTGAACCTCTGTAACTATTATAATAATTTTTTGAATATATGTTATAAAATATCATATTTGTAGTAAATATTGACAATTACACCTTTAATATATAAATAGTTTTCCACAAATTATCTTTATTTACGCAATATTTTAAAATAAATCTAAAGCCTACAATCTATTTTTAATATATAATAATTTTTTTTAGATTAACCCTTTATATCATAGTGGTTGGTTCAGCATTTATCACTGAATCAAAGCCTAATATAGTTAAAGTTGTGGGTATCACTTTTTAATTTTAATTAATGTGTTCATTTAAAAAAATATATTATTAGGATTTAAAATAAATAAAATTTAACGTATATAATTCTATAGCCTTTTCCGTACATTACTTTTAAGTTTTTTTTGTTTTTTAAGCATAATACAAAAAAATAATTAAATTGAAATAAAAATCCTACCTTCAGCCTCATCGTGGCGGGGGAGTGGCAACGTCTTTTGGCAGCTAATGGATGTCTAAAAGGTTCCCTGTGATCTGGGTCTAGAATAGGATCACCGTCTCCTCGACGGGGTGTAAAAACCACTTAAAGAGGTTGATGTCAGGAAAGGCATCCGATTGTAAAAACCTTGCTACAAAATTTCCCTATGGTTACAACAAAGCATGAGCGGGGTACAGCCCAAAGTACCCCGTGGGCCTCCTTATCCGTCTACGATAAAAAGAAGGATGGGAAACACGGTGGAACCACGATTCATGATAATGAAACTTATAACGGCCATAAACGACCTGATAATAAGTGGAGAAACCAGTCTACGGGGGATCGAGTTAGGGTCGCGACATGGAATGTTGGGAGTATGATGGGAAGAGCGGGAGAAGTCGTCGATGTATTGCACAGAAGGCATATAGATGTGTGCTGCATACAGGAGACTAGATGGAAAGGAAAAGGGACCAGAATGATTGGCAAGACTAGCGAAAAATATATATTCTTTTGGCAAGGAGGTAATGATGGTAAGGCTGGAGTTGGGGTATTGGTTGCGGAGAAATTGGTAGACAAAGTAGTCGAAAGAAGGCTAGATAACCAGATAATGGTTATCAAGATGATTTTTGGTAGAAAGCTATATAATATTATCTCGGCATATGTTCCTCAGGTTGGAAGAAGTGAAGAAAGAAAGATATATTTTGGGACAGTCTATTGGGGGTGACATCGAGACCGGCAAATGAAGTGGGAATAATCCTGGCTGGTGATCTGAATGGACATGCGGGAGCGAGTAGCGAGGGTTATGAAGGAGTACATGGAGGGTTCAGTTACGGCATGAAAAATTTGGAAGGAGAGAAGATTTTAGTGATACTATGGATATGATTGTCTGTAATACAATGTTTAAGAAAGAATCCGAGAAGCTGGTGACTTATAAGTCGGGTAGTACCAAATGTGCAGTGGATTACTTGTTATTAAGGAGATGTTACCGATGTATAGTAAAAAATGTGAAAGTGATATCGGGAGAGGAATGTATAAATCAGCATCGACTAGTTGTAGGAGATCTCACTCTTAAAGGTGCCAGGGTCACTAAAAGAAAGTTTGTGCCAAGGCTGAAGGTTTGGAAATTGAAGGAGGCGAGTGCTAGACATCAATTCAGTATGACATTGGAGATTAGGGAGGCGGAGGTGGCACAAGCATCTGGGGTAAATGACAAGTGGGAAGCCATGAAGAAAACCTGGGTGATGACAACCGAGGAGGTATGTGGATGGACAAAAGAGCCGCCTAGACATAAGGAGAGTTGGTGGTGGAACCAGGAGGTAGCGAAGGCTGTGGATGAGAAACGAAGGTGCTTCGAAGAATGGTATAACAGCAAAAAAAAATATTGATAACGATATTTACAAGATGGCTAAAAGAAATTAATAGCGAAGGCGCAAAAAGAAAAAAGACAGGAGTTTGCTAAAGAAATGAAATGAGCGGAAGGAATGGGAAATGTGGTCCGAATTGCAAAGCAGATAGCAGAGGCAGGATGTGGTAAGTGTTAAATGTTTGAAAACGAAATATGGGCAATCACGAAGCCAAATTAAAAAGAACAGAGATAAGGATGATTAGATAGATGTGTGGGGTATCTATGAGAGAGAGAAAAACTAGCAAGGAATTGCGAGCAAGATAGGGTATAGAAATGATTGGAATGGTAATGCGACGAAATAGACTAAGATGGTTTGGGCATGTGGAACGTATGACAAAAGATGACTGGGTAAAGAGATGCACAATGATGGAAGTAGGAGAATCAAGACCTAGAGGAAGACCCAAGATGACGTGGACAAATGTGATAGCGGCGGATATTAGAAGCATGAATCTTACAAATATTGATGCTCAGGACCGTCAAAAATGGAAAAGAAAAATCAGAGGAAAAACTGGCCTACCCGGGTAAACCTGGAAATCGCCATAAAACGGAGAAGAAGATTCCTAATTTTATTAGGATTATGTGTATATAAAATTTGTGCATATTTACTTTCTATTATATCTGTAATTCACTGTCAAGTTTATAAATTTTATGTTTTTGAATGAAAATAAATAGTTAAAATATATATGTATACTGTGAATAAGCATATATTTTTTTTGCAAAAATTCCAAGATATAAAGGGTTAAAAGTAAGTTTAATATCTTAAATATCAAGAAAAATGCTTTAATTTTTATTAAACCCGCATAAATTATATTATTAATTATGTTATAATTAATATGTATCAATTAATAAGATATTAATTAATTATATAATTAGTTATAGAATTGAAACATATATTATTTATTTAATGTCTTATAAATAATCAAAATTAGCACTTTTTATAAAGACAATACCACTGTGAAATTTTTTTTTTATATACATAACTTTAAGGAAAAATATATATTCAATTTTACCGATAATAATCGTGGATATTTTTAGGGAACATTCCCCTCATTTTTTTCAAGGATAATGCCGGTAAGGTGACACTATCCCCATGGTATGGAATCAAGTCCAAATTTTCAGATATTTCGGAAAATGCAGCATTATAATCACCAATTTCGAATAGTACACCCAATACTGCTAGCCCTATATATTTTGTTTTAAATTTATTTACTTAGTATATCGTCAATCGATTTGTTGGTTAGATATAATTTAGATATTATTTAAAGTAAAAAAATTTAATTGTCAATCAGACCCAGAGCTATGATAACTTAGAACCAGGTCAATATCTTAAGCAAAGAGTATTTAGAAGTGCCCCCCCCCCCTTCCTAAAAAATAATTAGAAAATATGATTGGGTAAAATTTTGCCATTTTATAATACAACTAGACGAAAATTTGCTTTTATTTTTTTATTTTGATATAACCCCCCTCCTTTCTTGTTTGAAAAATATTTAGGACTTGTTATTTTTTGGCGGTAAAAATTTTTACTGCCGGCTACCAGCCTGACGCAAACCTTCCTCATTTCTCTACCGGGCTTAGGACTGGTCAGGGAAAAGATAAAGGAAAATAGGCTGAGATAGTATGGACATGTGTTAAGGACTGGCTCAACTAATGTAGTTCTCTATCTTGTAGTTACAGGCTAACGAACTAGAGGCAGATCACGACTACTTGAATTTTTCAAATCCGCAAATACATATTAGATAATAAAATTGTTGTTGATATGGCCCAATGCCGAGCTCTATTAGAGAAAGACCCCAACTAATTTTGAAATTAGCATGATAGAGAAGAAGAAAAGAAAGCAAATCCTTACTTTTCTACTTCTATTTCTGTTAAAAAGGTAGAGGAAATGTATTCCGAATACATATGAAGTTACCTCTGAATTTTTCAATATAAAATATTGTTTCAAATAAAAATATGATTAGTGTCATTTGACAGAATTTTAAGTTTTAAACCTATTATTTTAAAAAGCATTCAAATTTGGGATCAAGGTATCCTAATATATTAGAAATAAAAGGTGTCAATATGAATCCTGATCATATTTCTGAATATGTATTTATCGATTCTTGAGGTTCTCGGTTGAGTCGATAAGATACATATTTAATTTGAAAGGAAATCTGGCAACACATAAATAATCGCAAATGAATGACCTACCTCTAAGCCAGGAACTTGTAGTGATCCCATTTGGACGAGGTTATTTAGAAGTGAAAGACTGAATTAGAAAGTCAGCTTTATCCAGAGTTTTCGTCATTAATGTATTTATTGTTCGATGTCGTAAAATATGATAGAAATAGAGGCAATGACTACTTACCTATTAGTATGGAACGTTTAGAAAACTTGTGGCCGTGTGATATCGTATCATAAGCGAAAGTCCATAGCAATTCTTAATTCTTCATCGATTAAAACATCCTTAACTAGTCAGTGATGATGAATTTTTTTATTTTGAACCAAGCCTCTAGTAAAGAGATATCATTGGGATGGGCGATCTACAATGTATTACCTGGTAATACATCAATTAAAAGTTCAATAAAGGCTTATGGATCACGACATTATCCTAAAGCAAGGACATAGAGAGGATCTGGTAGAGGAATGAGTTGTTTTGTTATATGCTCATGAAGCTAGGCAAATAAATGAAAGAGGAATGAAACGAAGTCTACCTATTTTAGTAGGTAAGGATGCTAATTTCTATTTAAAATCCCTAGATCTTAGTTATAGGTTGATTTATAATTGTTTAAACTTTCTCTTAGGACCAATAAATCTTGATAATTGAGAAAGTGGAACATCCAAATCCTTATATAAGTTGGGTAAAAAAAATTTAAAATAAGGAATAATAGCTGTTTTGGTAGTTCATCAGGATTCGCATGAATTTGTGCAAGGTCTCCTATATGTTATTGCATGAATTTGTGCAAGGTCTCCTATATGTTATTGCAGAATTTGTGCAAGTTCTCCTATATGTTATTGCAAAATTTTGAAACAATATGAGGTGATCCACCGATAGATGATCCATACATTGAGAGACTATGAGGTTTAGTGTTGTTAAACGGCTCTTTTCGAGCCGATTTTAAAAAGCAGCTAACTCAATATTTCATTTAGAAAAATATTACGCAAGGCTGAAGATTTTGCTCATAGAAGGAACAAAGGTCTAAACATATAATATCGAAATCTCGAGGCTTAGGCAATATTATCCTGGGTAAAATGTTGAGATAGCCATTTTAAAAAATCGGCTCAAAACGAGCCGTTTAACAACAGTAATGAGGTTCAATAAATTTATAAGGCAATGTCGTAACTGAGGTCCAAAAGCACCAAATATTGGCATAAATTTTAGAATTAGTGTTTCCAATTGTTCAGCCAACTTTCACGGAGATGAAGAGATGTTATATATTTAAAAAAATAAATGTAACTATGGGAAATCAAAAATACCATCAAAATTCCCATAGGCGAGTCATTTATAAACGAAAAAAATTTATTATTTTATGGAACAATATAATATTAATTATTATATTTTATTAATTTTAAAGGTTTGCTTACCTTTTTGATAAAATAAACAAATTGTTAAAAAATTTAACCCATTTCCCATGCCCCCCCCTCGCTTACCCTAACTAAAAATTCTTGTGTAGTTTTTTTAGATTATATTAGTACTTATTTCTGCAAACAATACAATTGATATTATTCTTAGATTTATATTCATATTCTAAAAAAAAATAAAACAATGGCATTTAGGTCAGCCAATTACACATGGTGAAGTTTTTTTTAAATTTTATTATTACAATCATGAGTATATTCAACAGTAAAAAAGTGTACAAAAAGCGATGAGATGTGATAACACTGCAATAAAAGATTTCAAATCTATAGGTAGAATATAGACCTTGCAGGTTTGATAAAAAGGTAATAGATAAGACCTTGCAGGTTTGATGAAAAAGGTAATGGATACTGGAGATTACCAGACGAGTGGAGGAATATTTTTCTAGTCCCCATCTTAAAAAATAAAGGTTATATACAATATGGTTAAGGATAAATAAGAAAATCATGATGTACACGAGGTTTTTCGATGTCATTGAGAATAAAGCCACTATTGGCATGGATAGATGCCAGATGAAAAGCATGGATAGTTTTGAACACTTAGGATCTATATTTCAATTAGATGGTGGCCTAGTTAAGGAAATAAAAATGAGAATAAATATTGGTACCAATTAAACCCCAAATAAGATATATAGCATATAATATCCATTTTGTGAACATGACAGTGAATATATTTCAAAATATATATAATTATAACAAAATTAAAAAACGTTTGCAAAATAAGAAGTAAATATATTATTGTAGTATACTTGAGATTACCAATAAATTTAGTTATATCAGTGACCTGCAGAGGTACCATATTGTTTTTTTTTAAAAAAATTTCAGCACACCTGGATTTTTTTAAAAAGAATTTTTTGGACCTGCCAAGGTTTTAGTGTTGTTAAACGGCTCGTTTTGAGCCGATTTTTAAAAACGGCTAACTCACTATTTCATCCAGAATAATTTAACTCAAGCCTGAAGATTTTGTTTGTAGAAGGAACAAAGGTTTGGACATCTATTAGCGAAATCTCAAGGCTTAGGCTATATTTTTCAGGCTACAATATGGAGTTAGCCGTTTTTAAAAATCGGCTCAAAATGAGCCGTTTAACAACACTACAAGGTTTTATATTTTCAGACCTGGCCCGAATTTAAAAAAATTTTTTTTAGGAACCCCGACCCGAGCATAAAAAAATACGGCCCGACCCGTGTACCCAGGCCGGGCTTAGGGTCGGGCCGGCCTGTAGATTTCTGAGTTATATAATATAAATTTTTATTCAATATTTTATTGAAATTAATAATAAATATAAAAATGATGCTTCTCCCTCCCCACAAGGACGAAGGGGGTTCATTAATCTAAAAAAGTTACCCTCCTCGATTTTATGGGCAAGTTTCTGCATCTTAGCTCCCCCCCCCCACCCACCCACTACGTGGTAGAAGCCGCTGAGGGGAGCTGTATATGATAAGCATATACTTGAAAAAATACAGTATAAAAATATTTAAAAAGACGAATATAGCTGGCAGCTTGATTTTTTATGTTATTTGACTTAAGAAAATTAAAATATAGTATCCAAAATAATTTTAGGTCAAAAAATCTAGCTTCATACCTAAATTATTACATAATGAATTTATTCATCATAAATAATTGTTTAAGAGTTTATTCAAATTCCAGAAAAATTTACAATTTATTTCTATAAGATAGAAAAAATGTTAATATCCTTTTGATTTGTAAAAATTTATATTAAATATAAGGTAATGTTAATAAAACCTAAGCTTTAGAATTTTTCTCTCTTCGACCGTAAATTGTTCAAAGCTCAGATATAAGGAAATAAAATTCGCCAAAAAATATTTAAATTAATTGCTCCTCTTCCAATAACTAATTTTTATTGTTAAAATCTTTATTTTATATTTTCTCTAAAAAAGTATCTACTTATACTTACTATACATAATTATTTTATAAATACAAAATGTTTACTTGGAAACATTGATTTTTTAAACGATATATAAAACACTAAATTTATTATATTTTTTTAACCTTCGGGATCATTCATAGCCTGCGTAGTATTAAAAAATTTGTCATCAATATGGTACTCTTGTTTGATGTTAACGACATGCATCTCAAGAGGATAAACCCTCTTATCTATCGTGTGTTCAGAACCTTTTGAATTTCTACTTCCCCAATGGAAATGTATCTCAGATGTTTTGTAAATGCCTGGTAGATCAGCTCCGCTAATAGCGGGTGCTGCTCCATCTCCCTTAAATTTGATTTTAACTTGAAAATTCAATATAAAACTAGGTTTTAAAAAATTCTAATAATCATAAATACCCCGCCTTCATTTTAGGTTATGCAAAATAATAATAGTATAATGACAGTGGCTTATATATCAACCCCCCCCTCTTGGCGATATACTTATAACCCCCATTAATGATCCAATTTGTTTCCCATTTAAGTAATTACCATTTTTTATGAAATGGAATAATTTTTAAACAGTTTTTGGTATTATTCATCGCCTAACCTGTATGACCATTATTCTCTAAATTCAACATAATTCCATCCAATTTTTTAAATCTAGTTTTAAAGGCAGTCAAGTTTTTGTTGTAGGCTAGATGTTCAGTATCTACATCAACAGGTGATTGATTCGAGCCGTCGCAAAAATCTGGGAATAGAATGGCCCAGACTGATGGTCCCAAAAACCCGTGGTAAGCCCATCTTTCGTTAAAAACATTCGTTTCCCCGATTTTAACATGTAAAGCATTCACACAAATATCCAATTTTTCGAACACTAATTTTTTAAAAAAATATTTGAAGCGAAGATTTAATTTTAGATTTTCAAATGATATTAATTTTCAAAAATTGAAAGAGTTCATAGATGGGAAGAGTGGAGAACATTGAAAAAAAATATTCAAATTCTATTTCCAATAAAAATTATGAGAATTCTATTGTTATAAAAACCGAACTAGCCATTTTTATAATATAATTTACATACATTGTTAATTTTTATGTTGATTTTAAAGTTGTTAACCCTATGTAAAAAAAAGGAAAAAAAAGGAATTCAAACCATACGAAAAGAATACCAATCCACATATGCCAAACAATTTCATATAAGAAACAGACGTTCGTGTTGATAATAATTAATTAGTTAATTACGGATCTGAAATATTATAGAAATTGAGTTGTTAAGCATTCAAAAAATGAAAATAAAAACATTTTCTTTTTTTTTATAAAATAGTATGTAAATAAATAAAGATTTGATTGTTGTATAACTTATACTTTGGTATACTATTATTATTATAATTTTTTTGGTTTACCTTTCCTCCCATATATAATTCTTTTAAAAAAAATAATATGAAGAGTTATTTTATTGGTTAGGCTGAAACATCGCCAGTCTATTCCTAGTACAGGAGGTAGGAAAAACCAAAATCCCTCCATTCTTTATTCCTGCACAATTTATTATTTCTTAAAAATTGACCAATTTCGGGAATTTACACAAATTTTATCCGGTATACCTTTATGAGATGAATACTAAAAGGTTGTATTCATTCTTTAAGATATTTCACGATAGCAGCTTTATAAGGTATATGCCCATTTTTAAATGAATATTGTGTTATTTATAATTCAATTATATAGAACCATAGGGAAGATAGGGGTTATATGGCAGGGATATTTCTCATTTGTGGTAAAATTTTATTTATAATTAATAAGATTGAACTAATTGTATCACTGAATAGCCTCATCAGACTACAAAATTAATATAACCATGGTTTTTCAGATTTTATACTGTGGGCGCTGTTCAGAATTTATTTTACTATATACCTACGACCCTGGTTAAGATACCAACCTATGGAGTAAATAACACACATAAAATTTAACCCATAACACATAATTTATCATTTTTATTGTAATAATTAATAAATTATTAAAAATAATGAATATTAAAAAAAAAAGAAGTCTTCACAATAAAAGCAGACATAAAATTTCATTCCTGCCACAAATAGATTATGCTTATTCATCATAATTAATGCATCATATAGTCGTCGCGCCTTTTACTGGTATTTTAACGTAAGCAGCGAACGACACAATTTCAATCCTTTTTTAAAAAAGCCTTTTTTATATTTTAATAAAAAGATTTATATGAAGATAAGTAATCGTTTTTTGTGCATGATTTTTCTTTTTGTCTATTTGGATATAAAGTGTTGATATCGGCTTAAATCAATGACAATAATGCAACATAAAATTTTTCTAAATAATTTAGCATCTTCAATTGTTTAGCAACCTATATTCCCTATTAGAGTGTTGGGTATCATTAGGAATAACGTCATCAAAATGGTTTTATTTCAAGAACGATGGTTCTACCTCTAGAACGATCATTACAAATATAATTGGTTAAAATATACTGGTTTAGTGGATCAATTCAATGTGAAAAAAAATTCACTTAAAATATTTTGTGTTTCTTCACAAATTTGTCTTTGTCGATTCCAGGATTTGCCAGAAACCCCGGACTAGGTTTATTCGGTAGCTTTAACATTAATAAATATATCCTATATACTCTTGCTTCAAAACAAAACCCCAAATAAGAAGGATAGAAGGCGACAAAATTGTTTTGGATAAGTATCCTTTTAATACCGAACTTCGATTGCTATTAACCCGGGCTCTAACTCTAAGTAGTAACGTAAATACTTGTATTTAAAATACTAAATACAGATATCTTTTGGTATTTATATTTATTTGAATATAGCCAGTCATTTTCCATGAATGAATTAGAAATTTTCCTATCTTATGAGGCGTGAGACAAAATTACTTTTATTTTGGAGAGGTAAATCCGAAATTTTCCATTAAATTTATAGATTGTTAATAAAGCTTATATTTAGTACTTTTAATATGAACAAAGATTGAAACATATTTGTAAATATACTATTCTTAATATATTAATTTCATAATATCTGAAAAAATTGTCTTTATGTGCACCATCAAAATTATTTTCAACTAAATTATACTACTTTTGTATACTAGTTATAAATCAGAATTCATAAAAATATAAAAGTATAATAGCAAAGGAAAAATAATTTGAAAATAAATATACCCTATTTAGACACATCGATTAGAGATCTGCAAAGTTAGGCCCGGTCCGTACCCGACCCGAGTCTGGGTTCGGGCCTCGGGCCTAATTCTATTTATAATAATCGGGTTCGGGCCAGGCCGGGCCTAATATTTAAAAAAAATTCGGGCCGGGTCGGACCTTGGAAATTTTTTTAAATATATCTAAATTTATCAATTTTATATTGAATTTTTTATGTAAAATAAAAATATTTTATTTTATTTATTGAAACTAAACGACATATAACATATGTCTTTTATTTTGAGTAATTATAAAGATTAATTTCTATATTTAAATAAATTCGGGCCGGGCTGGGTCGGTAAATTTTTTTTAAAAAATTTCGGGTTCGGGCCGGGCCGGCAAAACTTTTTTAAAATAATTTCGGGTCGGGTCGGGCTTGAAAAATTAGGCCCGATGCAGATCACTAACATCGATATCAAAAATTTGAAAATGGCGGTTAATAATATACGTAATTCATAAATAAAGTTGTAAAACAGAAAATAAATAGCTAAAAAAAAGATATTTCATAAGAACCCATTATGGCATAGCAAGCATCTGCGGTTTAGTTATAGTATTTAGTTTTAAGCTAGACCGCAAATTTGGATATTGTTGCACACTTTGTCCCAAAATGTTATAAAATTCCATTCAAGAATGACGAGAAATTAGAATTTTCTCATTAATTTGATGATAGATAAATCAGAGATTTCCCCTTATTTGGATGATGAATAAATCAGAAATCAGCCTATCTTGTGATATTAGAATCAGATTACCTTCTTTTTTTTTTTATTAGAGTTCCAAAATTTTAATTATAAACATGTTAATGTTCAATATGAGCAAATAATTGGAACATATGTGAGAATTTACTTTATTCATCACTTGTGATATTTAATATTGTAGTCAAAAAATATTTTAATTACCTTTTATTTGATACCCATATCAAATTTTCATTTTTACCCCCCCCCCCCCACCCAAACCAATCTAACTCATTAAGACCAAGGAATAGGGGAGACTGGGGTTAGGTAAACCCCGGGGCTTGGCAAACCAATTTTAATGATTCAATTTAAATGCAAAAATCATATGCCATTTATCAAAATTTATATTAAATTCTCATTTCAATATATAATTTATTCTACAACTTTGAAAATATTTGCGGGTATCATTATAAATATAATAATGTATTAACTCGCGAATATTTACAGTATTCACCTCATAAAGTTACACCATAAAATCAAATTGTTTAAAAATTTTTACTTTTTTCTTCATGGCATTATTAATTTCAACCAAAGGTTTGTAAGACCTTTCTAATGTCCAAAATTTTTTATCGAGCCCAAAATCAAGTAGTTAATGTACCAATTTCCAACTACTCCGAAGGATTTTTTAATACGATCTAGTATCAAAAACTTTTTATTTAGTTCTAAACCGAATTGTTTTAATTATGTAAAATTTTTAAGAGCTGAAACGCCACCTTGCAGAAAATTATTGCCAAATAAAATATAAAAATGATTTTTCATATTCTATTTTATTTTGGTTACAAATCAAAAGATGTTAATCTATATTTAATAATTTTTTCTAAATTTATTTTTGGGATAATATTTAATCATAGTTATTAGCAATGTCAAATTTATAGACAAATATCCATAGACATATTAATTCATTAGATTCTTATATTTAAAGGCGTAGAAATAAACAATAAAGAAAACACAGGCTTTGAAATTCATGCAAGGCTGAGAAATGCAAGAATTACGGTTAACAAATATCATAAATTTTGGATCTTCAGAGAGATTTCAACCAAAATTAGATCACAGATATTTATTTATTAAACAGTTATGGACGCGACATTTAAGATATAAAAAAATCTTAAACTAAAATCTGGAAACATTTGTCAGCCGATGTCTCATGCAACTTAGAGGTTTACTCCAGGATAATTTCGACTATAAGGATATGGCGATAGTTTTGCAACGGGAGATGTTATGATAAAATATATTTGCTCAACAAAACGATCAACTTAAACCTCACAATGAACCAATTCATAAAACTAAACAATAATAAAATCTCAAAAAAAAACTTCCAAAATTATAATCGAAAAACATTAATCAGTAAAATCCTAAATACTCTCTAGGTGTCACAAATATCTCATTTAGGTAAATAACCTTCATTTATTTATGTATTAGAACAATAAAATGCATTCCTTTTTCTTCAAAAATTGTTAAGTACTAACCCGTAAATCTGTTTTTAAATTAAATATTTTTCTGCTTAATCTCATCATAAGCATCTATTCAAATTTCTTCAAATTTTTCTCACTTACAATTTCCTAATATATGGAAAAGTCTTTCAAATATATCCATCCATAATGTACATACGAAATTAACTTTAACCCCCCCCCACACTTCTATGATAACAAGTATCCTAATTTCCTAGGGCATGGGTTTTTTTTTCTTGGCCTAAAAAGTTAATACACTCCCGCTGGAGCTATCCCTGCGCGCATTGGTAACTGCAGTTTGCCAAGAAACTGTGAGTGAGCTATCTCATGGGATATTCCAATTTTTTTTGAACCCAATTAGATGGGAATGAGAGTGGTCAAGCGTAGCTCTGTTAATTGCAATCCTTCCTTTTTAAGCTAAAAACTATATAACCCACTTACCTAAATTTTTAAATTAATTTTTACTGTTCCAAAATTTTATTTATTTTTATGTCCGGCCTGTTTCAAATTTTTATTTTAGGTTGAGCCCGGCTCAGCCAAATTAAAGAATATAAACACATTTTTATGAAGAAAGAATCGCCTATATATATTTTTTAGATATTTTACACATTTTTACGCCCTGCCCGATTTTTTATAAATATGTTAGCCCTGATCCATTCTAACATATTTTAAAATGTTTAGGGCTAGACTTCGAGCTGTTCTCGCGTTATTCTGCATTTATAATTTTTGTTCTTGCTTCCCGAGTTTAACTTCTTAAATTATGGCCCCTCGAGAAACGTTATACAATCTAGATTACTGTCCTTTATATAATTTTTGTTTATCATAACCTGTGTATCCAGTGTTTTTAATAGTAGTTTATAGGTCATTATGTACAACGTAGTGTAAGCTATTTAAATTATAATCGAAGATAGCTTTTTCCGTCTGGATATTGATAGGTGACTGACCATGACCTGTTTCACACAGATGATTGGTATCATTTATGGTAATTGTTGGATCCACTTCACAATCAATATTTCGCAAAAATATAACTAATTTTATATCGTAAAATAAAAGAGATGAGCATCATTAAATAATATTTTTTTTATATAATAATACAGACACGCCAAAAACGTAAATAATTTTTAATTAAGTTAA